TGTTTTCGATAATTCTGCATGAATTCTGATACTCTTTGCCCTCTCATTCAAGGTTTTGTTTATTCTTTCAATAATACCATTTTGTTGAGGTGTCTCAGAAATAGTTTTAAGCATTTTAATTTCATTCTCAGCATAATAATCAACAAATTCAGTACTACTATATTTATCACTATTATCACACTTTAAACATTTAATTTTTGACCTTGTCTCATTCTCAACAATGGTTTTCCGCTTCTTAAAGGTATAAAATACTTATGATTTTTGCTTCAAAAAATAAACTCATACCTTTCTAGTGGAATCATCAATGAAGGTGGCATAATATCATGATCCTCCCAATGATAAGACTAATGTTGACCCATACACATATGTATGAACAAGTTCTAACTTCTCTGCCTTGGACATCCTCCCTGACTTTGCAAAAGTAACTCTCTTCTGCTTCTCAAATACACAAGGTTCATAGAAACCAACTTTTACCTTTTCCAGTTCTGGAATCTTCCCCTTTAAGACTATTATCTTCCCTTTTGGTACCACACAGTCGAAGAATGATCAACATCACTAATTGAATTTACCTCTTCTGTAGGTAATTCTGCAATATATAGGGTTCCTTTCTTCCAATCACAAACAATAGTTAGATTACCATTCACCACCTTCCATTGGTCTTCTCCGAATATGACTCGATATCCTTAAACATCTCACATGCCCATAGATATTAACATTCTCTTGAGTCTTGAAATATATCTAACATCCTTCAGAGTCCATACTATATCCGTAAATATTTTAAGATTTATATTTCTTATGCCTACGATGTCTAAAGTTTCATCATCTACTAGACGCTCTTTGCCAAAATTTTCACTTCTGAATTTTTTCATCAAGTCTTTGCAAGGAGAAACATGAAAAAATGCACTAGAATTCATGATCCATAATTTAAACTTGCCCTCAGCACAACAGATTAATGCATCATCATTGTCTTCTTTTACTGCATTCATTGTATTGTCATGATTCTTTTCTTTAGGAGTAGTACACATCAGTGGTGGATCTTAACCATTGATTTTGGGGGGCTAAATAATATATTATTAATAAGTAATAAATAAATATAAAAGGGTGAAAGAATATAAAAGGGTGAGAGGATCAAATTGTAAATGTATAAATAAATATATTAAATGATACTTAAGTTTGAGGGAACGAAATCATAAATTATGAGGGTTAGGAGTAATGAGAGGATAAAATTGTAAATATACAAGAAAATATATTAAATGATCATTAAGTTTGAGGGACCAAAATCATAAATTACATGGGAGTTACAAAATTTTGGGGTGGTCACGACCCCCCTCAGCTCCCAAGAAGATCTGCCACTAGATACACTGGTTCCTGAAGTGTTCGTTCTGCTGACAATTTCAACAAGTAATATTCTTGTGAGGTTTGGATTATCTTTGCTTCTTGGACTTTGATCTACCACGTCCAGAGTTTTACCCTCTCTTTCAGGCTTTCTACCCCTACTTTCGGTGCTTAATAAGAAATTTATTTATTCTCCGACGTTTTTTCTACGAACATCTTCATTAAGGATTAAATCCTTGATTCTTTCATAGGTTAATTTCATAGTCCAATATTTACTAACTATTGTCATGACAATTTCTAACTAACTATTTGGAAACGAAGATAACAATAATAAGTAAGGCTTGTACTTCCTAATTAAATTTAATATTCACTCATACTAATCTTGACAATAAGGAATTAAATCAATTCACATGATTTGTAACACTAGCACTTTCGTATTAACTAATTGATGAATAAAAAATACCTTGTTTGATGCTAATCGTACATGTTTGATAATGACTTTATCAAACCATATGTCGTCTTCTCGTTGATGATATTGTAAACAACATTCTTCGTTAATGTTAATTTGACGATGCCCAAAGCCTGTGGATCTAGCAACTCCCAATTTGTCTGAGACATTATTTTTGGTTTATTCCCAGACATAGGTTGTGCAACTTTTTTTTATAAAGATAATATTTAATTTGCATCTTCTAAAATCCGAAATTGTTTTCATCGTTTTCATTGAACTTGTCATCATTCACTTTCTCGTCTTCTGTCATTGCTCTTACTCGCATGAAAAAACTTAAGTTCTTGATACCAGTTATTGAGATCACAAATGCAATACAAGATGAAAATAAATAATAAGAACACAAAGAATTTATGTGGTTCAGTCAAAATGACCTATGTCCACGATTACATTAGATGATCATTCTCATTCACTTAATTAGATTTATAAAATATTTGTGATAAAAAAAATGAATACTTAATAACACTTTACAAAGTTAACAGTTCTAATACCTACCTTTTCATATATTTAGAAGAATTTTGAGTAAATATTTTTGAGAAATTTATTTTTATAATCCTTTATCTTTTTGAATTCTTCAACCACGGTCATAGTTATTTTTAATTTCTCTTCTGATGTGTAATTGTTAATCGTTAACGAATAAAATTATAACTTTTTCAACCAAGGTGATTTCATAGAGGCTAAAACATAAACGAGTATTAAAGTTTACACTTGAAAAACATTTGAAAAGGCACGAGAATTATGGAAAAAAGTTGTGTACAGTGCTGAAATAGACGGAATGAGCATATACAAGCATGGAAATCAGACATTGATAGGTAAACATGAGGTGGTTGACCAACAATCAGATGGAGTGTGATAGACTAAACCTGATTAAAGCCACCACTTCATTTCTCATCCAAATTCTAATCTTCCTCCGTTGTTCCCGCCGTTGAACATTGCAGAAAGTTGAAATTAAAAAAAAGTGCTAAATTGAATTGAGAACACCATTAATGGAGCGGAACTAACTTGGTGGTTTCCACGAGACAAACAAACATGGTCCCAAGTGGGGCTTCTCCAAGGATACTATGACCAACCAAGCAACCACAGGATGCTACCAAATTGCCTCACTTTCTGCTTTGCTTTAACATTCTACACACTTTCCTCATCTGAGATAAGTTCTTTCAACTTGTTACATTTTCACGACACAAATTTTAGATTTTGAGAATTACATTTCAACAATATTGTGATAAAAATAAAATAAATATATGATTTGGTTTTAATAAACAGGGTAATTAAATTACAGGGTCTATCTGCAAGCAAAAGTACGACCGTACCATACTTTGGATTTTCACTGTTTTTGTAAAGTGAAGATTCGTCTATCTTTTACCTCGAGCAGATAGATACTCAGTACTCACAATAATATACCTAGAAGAATAAAATGATTGAAATCAAGAATCATATGCCATAACTATTCTGAATTAATTAAGTATAGAAGTGAGTAATTGTCCTGAATGTGTGTGCCTGGGTGAGTGTGAGTTAATTAACCCATGATTTAAGTAATAAGAATAGATCAAACAGATAAAGACAAAAACATAAAAGACAAAAAGAGACAAATAAATAATTTATTTATACATACATAAATTCAACGTAGATGGTAAAATGAATCACAAAATGAATAAAATTTTGGTTTCAAAACTTAACGCTAAAAACACAATGGCTCTTTTTGCTCTTCAATCAAGCAAGAAAAAACAAAACGCTAAAAACACTAAGTTTCGTCCAAAACGTTTCAGCATTTTTTTAAAAATAACTATTAATATAACTTATGCAATATAATTATATTTATATTTATATTGCATTGAATATTAATTTCTAATTGATTTCTTGTATTCATCACAATAATATTCATCGTCAAAGATAATAATGAACAACATCGGAAATTCTAAACATACACAACATGAATATTACATATAACATAACCGAATCTTGGAGTCTTACCTTGTAAATAGTAAAAATAGTATTAGCCAAATAAAATAATAAGACTACAAAATCCGGTAGGGTGAAGATTGATCCTATAATACATACTCGGAAGGACACAAGAACAGAGAAGAAATTCCCCTTCTTTATGATTTTTCATTTGTTATTATTAAGGGTGTAAGTAAATTATCAAAAGAAAAAAAAAAAAAAAAAGGAGGTAAGAGTTTGGTGTTATTTAAAGCACAATAAAGTTAGGGTTCATTGTGTCGGGGGTTCTTTAAATTCTCTTTAATTCCCTTTCTTTATTTAATACTTTGTTTTTAATGCAAATTTCCCAGCAATATGAATGTGTAATGAACAAGGTATGATGTCCGAATTGAATTGGTACCAACTTAAAGACACACATTCTTGGTCAAATACGTTGTTTTTTTTTTTTACTGATAACAAATGCACAAATTTTATGTTTTCTTGATATAAATTAAATATTATTATTATTATTATTATTATTATTATTTAATTTTAACAAAGCTATCATAAATAATCAGACGATATCAGATTATAATTTACTAATTAGTTTGATATTTTTTATAGGAAATTATGAATATGATATTTGTTAAAAAATAGATGTGTATAATTTCATCATATCTCTCTTTAGATATGTAAAAGGGAATAAAAGGCATTTTAGAAAAATGGTTTTCTAGTAGAAACACTGAAACACTTACTTTGAATAAATAGAGAACAAAGAGGCTAAAAGGCATTTAACACTGTATTGTACGTGTATTCAGAAGAATCAAATTTAAATTTATTAATTAAAGTGTGGCAACATCATGTGTATATAATGAATTTCTGGAACTAGGTTGCAAGATGCAACTCAGCTACTGACCAAAATTGTACTGATGTAATGTAACTAAATTGAGAGAACTCCACAAACGGTTTCCACCATTTACTGGTTTACTGCTACTCTCTTTCTCTCTCACTCTGTCATGTATCAGTGTACTTTTTAGTATGACACTGTACAATAGTTATAAATAATTTGTCATCCGCTCTCAGCTGCAACCGAACAACACCATTCTGCTTGCTATTAAGGAATGGACCCTCTTCCTTCTCCTACCCTCACCATTCCACCGTCAGCCCACTCTTAGAACAATAATTTTCACTTTCTTTTCCCTCTGTTCTCTCCCTCCACTTCCTTCCCACCACACTGCCCAACATGGAAGCCACCTCGTTTTCCAACTTACTCTTCTTTTTTCTCTTGGCCTCCTCGTGTTTCTGTTTTCACGCCACTGTCACCTACGACAGAAAGGCCATTCTCATCAATGGCCAAAGGAGAATCCTCTTCTCCGGGTCCATACATTACCCCAGAAGCACCCCTGATGTAAGCCGCAGAAAGAAAAACATCATTGGACTTTACGAGCTTTCTTTGTTTCCTCAGTGAATTTTTCTGATTTTGTTGTAAAATGGTGTCGGCGCAGATGTGGGAAGATCTGATTTTTAAGGCCAAGGAGGGAGGGCTTGATGTGGTTGAAACCTACGTCTTCTGGAATGTTCATGAGCCTTCTCCTGGCAATGTGATTCTTCACTCTTTTTTTTTTTTTTTTTTTGCTGTGGTTTACGTTTTTCGACCTCTAATTTGAGCTTTTGGTCCAATGTGTTTGTTTCTGCATGGAACACAATTCAGTACAATTTCGAAGGGAGGTATGATCTGGTGAGATTCGTGAAGACTATACAAAAAGCAGGGCTTTACGCCCATCTCCGCATTGGACCTTATGTCTGTGCAGAATGGAATTTCGGGTACCTTCTCATTTTCTAACATCGGAATGGAATTCCCTTGTCATCAAGTTCTAAATTGCGGTTGCAGTCACAGTTTCACTGCATTTGTGGTCAATGCGGCCACAATTCTGGTCGTAGAGACTCTAGAAACCTTATGTTGCTGCTGAAATAGCAGTGGCAGACTGTGCTTTTAAAGTTTGTTTGTCATTTTTCTTCCAGATATACTCTTCTCATTGCTTAGCATTTCGTTTAAGTTTTTTATCATATATTGTCGTTATGTGCAGAGGATTTCCTGTTTGGCTTAAATATGTTCCGGGGATAAGCTTCAGAACAGATAATGAACCTTTCAAGGTCTCTTTTTTTCTTTTCCAAAAATGTTTTTTTATTAGACTATCCGGTGCTGTGGTATTTATTGATGCGTCATGAACTGTGTTGCAGAGGGCGATGCAAGGGTTCACTGAGAAGATTGTTGGAATGATGAAGAGTGAGAAGCTCTTTGAGTCTCAGGGTGGCCCCATTATACTCTCTCAGGTGAACATCTGGGTGTTTCATTTCATAGCACTGGCGGCTATGAACTTCTCACTCTAGATCTAGTTTGAATAATGAAACATTTACTGTATGTTGTTTTAGATTGAGAACGAGTATGGGGCACAGAGTAAGTTGCAAGGGGCTGCTGGTCAAAACTATGTGAATTGGGCTGCGAAAATGGCTGTGGAGATGGGAACTGGAGTCCCTTGGGTAATGTGCAAGGAAGATGATGCGCCGGATCCAGTGGTATGCATATTTATTCTTCCTCTTAGAAAACTGTGTGATATAAAATGTAATCTTCTGATACACCATTAATGCCTAGGTTTTCTTTTTGGTTATTCTATGATTATTTTAATAATTTTAACTTTCAGATACTTGTAACCTTAAAAAATTGGAAAATTAAATGCAGCACTCAGACAGTTGTGTGTACTTCATTTCTTTCATTAAACTAATCTATTTCGTCTGTGGGGTAACAGATAAACACGTGTAACGGCTTCTATTGTGACAAGTTTACTCCAAACCGACCTTATAAGCCTCTGATTTGGACAGAGGCATGGAGTGGCTGGTAAGGTTTTTTTTACTATGACATTAAATGTTAGAAAAGGAGAAATGAAATTGCTAGTTTAACTTTCTGTGAAATGTGAAGGTTTACAGAATTTGGAGGTCCACTCCACAAAAGACCTGTCCAGGATTTGGCATTTGCAGTTGCTCGATTTATAATAAGAGGAGGGTCCTTTGTAAACTACTACATGGTTAGTTTAGTTGGCTTAAGCTGATTCATAAATTGATTATGCTGGCACCTACTCTGGTAACTAGCTTAAGTTGTCTTGCATTCACCTGTAGTATCATGGAGGAACCAATTTTGGACGAACAGCTGGAGGGCCTTTTATTGCTACCAGCTATGACTATGATGCTCCACTGGATGAATATGGTGAGAACTGAAAATTCTATACCTTCTAAGTCATTTATAGTGTTTATAGATCTCATAACTAAACCAAAATTCTTCAAGAATTCTGGCAGAGAGTAATAAACAAATTTGATATCTACCAGTTTCTACCATTCTTTTTCTTAGTAACTTCATATGCATGAAATTTTTGACAATTTATGTCCGAAAACTTATTACTCTTCGCTACATAGAAACCTACAAATATTTTCCTCTAATGCTTACGCTTTGGGGTAATGTGTATCTCAGAACAGTACCCCGACCTTTTTTATATTCCCCATAACTGACTATTTCTACAATACAACATTGAAGGTCTGATTAGGCAACCGAAATATGGTCATCTAAAGGAGCTTCATAGGGCTATCAAGATGTGTGAGAGGGCTTTGGTTTCAACAGACCCCATCGTTACCTCATTAGGGGAATCACAACAGGTTTTGACTCAAGTGAATGTTACTTTGTTTTTACGTGTAAACCTTTGTTTACTGATCGTAGCTAACATTCTACTTTTTCAGGCACACGTATATACTACGGAATCAGGAGACTGTTCTGCTTTTCTCTCAAACTATGATTCAAAATCCTCTGTTAGAGTGATGTTCAATAATATGCACTATAACTTGCCTCCTTGGTCCGTCAGCATCCTCCCAGATTGTAGAAATGTTGTCTTCAATACAGCAAAAGTATGTAACAAAAGTTTGACATATTTCCCATCCTGCATTGTATTTAATTATTCTATCCATATACCTCTGATGACAACTTTTTCACCTTCTATGTGTCCATTCAACATGATTTAGTGACTGAAGATTTGTCAAACCAATGAACTCCTGCTCCTTTTGTTTAGGTTGGAGTGCAAACATCTCAGATGCAAATGTTGCCCACAAATACTCAAATGTTCTCATGGGAGAGTTTTGATGAAGATATTTATTCTGTAGAAGATAGCTCATCAATCACTGCTCCAGGTCTCCTGGAACAGATAAATGTAACAAAGGATGAAAGTGATTATCTTTGGTATATAACTAGGTAAACTTGATTTTAAGGCATTCCATGTGCTCCTTGCATAACTTCTTCACAATACCTTATTTTTCAGATTCTTTAAGCTTATTCCTTGTTCCAGGTGCTAAGTGAAGAGGTATAGAAACCATATTGAATGTACTTGATCTTTAATTCATATTATGCCTATGTTTCTGCAGCGTTGATATAGGTTCATCCGAATCCTTTCTACATGGAGGTGAACTACCCACTCTCCTTGTTCAGTCTACAGGCCATGCTGTGCATGTTTTCATCAATGGTCAACTATCTGGTATGTAAATTTTCTTGCTTTTCCATTAGACCCGATTTTAGCTTATTAGTATAAGTAAGCATGATATATGTTTCAACCCAGGTTCTGCCTTTGGAACGAGGGAGTATAGAAGATTCACATATACTGGCAAGGTAAACCTTCGTGCTGGAATAAACAGAATAGCTCTGCTCAGTGTTGCCATTGGACTTCCCGTAAGTATTTTTCCCCTTTTACTTTCCAAATCCTTCTGTCAGTAAATATTTCGTTTCCATAAATAGGTGTTATTGGTTTGTGCTCAAGTTCATTCATCACTTTGACCTTTCTATGATTACGATAGCCTACTATTTGTCAGCTATTTCTCAAATTTTTTTCCTCCTAATAACTAAAATTATTGACCAAATTTTTTCTGTATTTTTGTTGCGAAAGAATGTGGGAGAACATTTTGAGTCATGGAGCACAGGAATCCTAGGTCCAGTTGCACTCCATGGACTTGACCATGGAAAATGGGATTTGTCAGGGCAGAAATGGACTTATCAGGTTGCATACCCTTACTTTAGAAACTTAAGTTGGTTCACTTTCATAGAAGAAATTTTCACTAACACATGCTTTTACACAGGTTGGGTTGAAAGGAGAGGCCATGGATCTTGCCTCTCCAAATGGTTTCTCTAGTGTTGCTTGGATGCAGTCAGCAATAGTTGTACAAAGAAACCAGCCATTGACATGGCATAGGGTATAAAATGAAAGACAAATGTGCTAAGTTTGACTGAAAATGTAACATTTGCTTCAAAATTGATAAACTTAATCTGAAAACTGTGCAGACTTCTTTTGATGCTCCCGAAGGAGACGAACCATTGGCATTGGACATGGAGGGAATGGGTAAAGGTCAGATATGGATTAATGGACAGAGTATTGGAAGATACTGGACTGCTTTTGCTACTGGTAATTGCAATGACTGTAACTATGCTGGTTCGTTTAGACCTCCAAAGTGCCAACTTGGTTGTGGCCAACCAAGCCAACGATGGTGAGTATTGCTAGCGATGACATTGTAGCTTCTGCAACGTTATTATATTGGTGAACACAATGTGAGACACTGCATATCTTGTATTACATTTCATACAAAATGTTTCAGGTACCATGTCCCTCGATCCTGGTTGAAGCCAACTCAAAATCTTTTGGTTATTTTCGAGGAACTCGGGGGAGATCCCTCAAAAATTTCACTTGTGAAGAGATCAGTGAGCAGTGTCTGTGCTGATGTGTCTGAGTACCATCCAAATATTAAGAATTGGCACATTGAAAGCTATGGTAAGTCAGAAGAGTTCCGTGCACCTAAGGTTCACTTGCATTGCAGCCCTGGCCAGACCATCTCTTCCATTAAATTTGCCAGCTTTGGAACTCCTTTGGGTACTTGTGGAAACTACGAGCAAGGAGCTTGCCATTCCCCAACTTCCTATGCCATATTGGAGAAGGTGATCTATCATACTCTTGATTTAGCTACGCACGACATTTTTTTCTGGTTTCCCACATTTATACTCCTTCAGAGACAATACTGTTGGAAGCATGACCAGACACAGAATGTAGACACCTCTTGGGTGGATTCTAGTATTAATATGTCACGTTATAAGGGACTAGTCCTTTCCGATAGACTTTACCTTCATAATACATTAACTTCTAATAAATTCTTCCTAGGAATGTATGCTTAATTGGTCCTCTTCTTCTGTTTCATGTTTCAGAGATGTGTAGGAAAATCAAGATGCACAGTCACTGTATCAAACAGCAACTTCGGGCAAGACCCATGTCCAAACGTGCTGAAGCGGTTATCAGTTGAAGCTGTTTGCGCTCCAAGTGCTACAAATTGGAGGGGTTGATTGGACAAGGAAGCACCCTTTTACGTACAGTGTGCAGTGACTTAAAGCGCTAGAAAAAGGGATGAATAATAAAAGGAGCGTAGGTAAAGTTCAAGGTAGTTGTCTAGTTGAAGAGTAGGTTGAGTGGCAGAGTGTGAAAGTAGCCATGTAACGAAATGTTTGGTGGTGCCAAGGCACGTCCTTATAATTTATTTGGTGGGTTAACGGGGCTTGTATAAATTTTTTCGATAGTATAGGTAGGTGAATGTGAAACCACGGGTCTGAAATTTGGACCCTTGTGTGTGAATTTAGAGTGTACCAGTCCCCGACCTTTTAACCGGATATGGGCACTGGGAAGCGAGGCATTTATTTATGTTGGTGTGATTTATGTTTCTTTTTTGTAACTTTGTGTTAATTAATGAGGTGAGTCATGCCACACACCAGGTTTAAGTTGGGAGTGGATCCTACTGTAACCATTGTCCGATGAGGTTTATAGAGAAGTTCAATGCTTTTGCCTACTTTGCCTCCCAAGTAGCTACTCTATGATACTCTTTATTTTCTATTTTGTTTTGTTTAGTTGCTGCAGCAAGCTGCTTTTTGATGATAATGCAAAATACCATAATTTGACGACATTAAGGACGTCTAATCTATGCATGGTGTGCTGTGGCTATCAAATTATTGATTTTAAGTTAAAAATTAATACCGTATAATAACTTTCTTAGTATGGTCTATTATAATTAGCATTTTCTTAATTTATAAAGACGTAGGAAGAATCTTGTTAGATTGAGAAAAAACATTGGAAAGACTTTTACATTCTCTATTTCAATTCTTATGATAACTGTTGAGCCTCTGTGACAATTATCTCACAAGTAGAATTACTTCATAATGAAGTTCTTGCTTTAAAGATGTCAATTCTCAACCATGCGTTATTATCAAGAAAGGCATCCATCAATGACCATATTGAGAATATATATTCTGTAGGGTTCTTTTCATATATTTTATTTTCAGTTTTAAACTTATTTATATTTCATAATAATAAATTGAAGTTAATTGTAGATATTTATTTTAATTTTGTATTTTCGATCTATTTGACTTTTTTCTGTTGTTTTGACCATAATTTTCTTTTATATTATTTTTGTCTAAGTTGTATTAGATTCTATGTTTTTAAGATTTTTAAGTAAATATATAGTTTGTTTGATTTGAAATTATGTGCTATTTTCTATATTTTTAGAAGGTGTGACAAATTTATTAAAAAGTTGTAAATAATTTATGTTAGATTAAATTTTTTTCATATTAATTTAACTTTTATAATGAAGTATATGAACTTAATTAGAGTTACATTTAAACTCTTATTAAGGCTTAAAAACATATAAATAGCTTAAACGTGATTTAAACTCTTATTAAATTTTTTTTATTAGATTTTTATTTAAAAAGTGTTTCTACATCTTTTCTTTCTTCTCTTCTTTCTCATTTTCATTTTTTACTCTCCAATTCTTTTCCTTTGTTTATAGTATAAATATTTCTTAAATTTTTCATTGAGAATTAAGTTTTACATCAATCATTTATTATTTTGAGTTTATTATTCTTTTCTCTAATTTTAGTTTTATATTTGTAATATTAATTTTTTATTCTCAATTTAGAAACTAAATTAAAAATCGATTGAATCTTGATTTGATAATTAAATACAGTTGAATGATATTAAGATTTAATTTATATAATTAATTTAATTAATTAATTAAATAAGTTAATTGTTTAAATTTGAATTGAAATATCTAGAGAATTTGGTTGTGGAACTAAATCTATTTCTATTTTTTTGATTTCGATTTTTACTATTTGAATTTTGTTTTATTTTTTAATTTTTGTTTTATATTTTTATCCAAGAATTTAACTTGTAAAAAAAAATTAAAATATTTTAATATATATCTTCATAAAAATAGCCTAAATTTATATTTTATATTTCAAAATTAAAAAAAAAACTTATAATGTTTAATTTTATGAACAAAATTAAAATAATTCATTTATTTTCATGAGTGAACAGGAGAATTAATCACCTTAAAAAGTATGTAAAGATAATTTAAATCTAAATTCTCAAAATAAAAAATGTATCATATTAGATATAAAGTACTCACTCTTAGAGTATTTTTTTTCTTGCTCTCTTTTTAGTTTAGCATTCAGTCATCACAAATATAATAAACTTTCCCTCTGACTACTTTTCTTAATTAAATAGACATATAATTTAACATCTGTTCATTATAAATAGGGTTGCTATACATGTATTCAGCGAGTTATTTAAAAAGTTTACAGTCAAAATATAAACAAATGGTGACTCGAAAGTCCAAAATTAAATCTCTAGATAAAATTGAATTATGAGAAAAACACATTATATCATATTAAATCTCTAGATAAAATTGAATTATGAGAAAAACACATTATATCGTATGTATAAACTAAAATATACCTGTGAAAAAGAAAATTTATTATTCTCTTACTTGGTAATATTGATTTGATTTATCATATATAAAATTCATATTTTTATAATTTTTTCCCAAAGAGGAATTTATTTTATTTTTCAAAAATTGATTTTTTATATGAAAAACAAATATATCTAATTAAATTAATAAACTATGTCTATTATTGATATAGAAGATCTTTCAATTGAGAATATTTATCAACCTCGAGACGAAGAAAAAAATGTTTATTTTTTTAGTTAAACCAATGATTTGTTATTGGAACATATAACAACAACTATCTCATATGGAAAAAACCATATAATTTTTTCAATAATGCCTTTGTCATTTTATCCAATATGTTTCGTTATATTAGAATAGATTTGATAAATATTGATAACTCTCAGATAAAGTATTAGATCAGAAAAAATTTTAGATGATGAACTATTTATTTAAGCCATCTCTTGCAATAAATCAACAATTCAAAATGTTTTTTTTTTTTTTTGCATATTCTTGATAAACTGGTGTTTATATATACTTGTTAGACAAATGGCATCTAGAGGGGGTGAATAGATGCACACATTTTATTTGTGAGTCAATAATTTGTTTGAACACAGATAAAACGAAAGCGATAATATAATCAGGAAAAGAGAAATAGATAAGGGAAAGAGAAGAGTACACAGTAATTTATACTGGTTCAGGTATAGTCAACCCTACATCCAGTTCCCAATCAACTCTAATCACAAGAGTGACTCCCAATTCACTATTTTTCAAATTCAGTTTACAAATTACAATCAACTCAACAGAAGAATTAGTAAAAAGTAAACTAATTAAAAAGACAATCACCTCCTTAGAAATCTACTAAGGATGAACACATCCCTAGAATTCCACTAGGGATGAACACCTCCTTTAAACAAATCAAAGGATGAAAAACACCTCCTTAGAATCACACTAAGGATGAACACCTCCCTAGAATTACACTAGGGATGAACATCTCCCTGAACAAATCAAAGGGATGAAAACACCTCCTAAACCCACAAAGGATGAAGGAGTAAGATAAGAACGAGTCACACACTGGGTAATGGAGACAACGAGATGAGAGAAGCACTGTAGAATGTCAATCTCCAATAACAAGTGTGATTAACAATGAAAGCACGAGAAGATAGTAGAGAAGAGGGTTTTCTCAGAAGGTGTAAAATATCTCTGTTGTCTTGCTTAGAATTCTTTTCTCAAAGCTGATTGAATGTAAATTGTATTTTCGAATTTTGTAATTGTGTGTTTTTGATTTTTCATCAAAATTTAATTAAATAGAAAAATAACATCGAGAAAATGGTCATTGGACATTAATATCATAGAGAAAATCGGGATGTATTTAAAAACATTTATTCTTTAAAAAGAATATATTTTTCAAATTTGAATAGTCAAAATTGATTATGTTACCAGTATAATCAATTATGACGGAGAAAATCATTTTTCCATTTCGATGCATCATAATTGATTATGACAGTGAAAAATATGTTATGAAATTTTATTACACTTGTGCTTTGGAGGCTTATGTATAATATTACTTCATCAACTTGTATCTCCATATCCAGTATTCTAAGACTCTATCTAGTCTTCAGGAGTCATCTTGGGCTTGCTTGAATCATCATCTTTATCAATAACATATCTTGGGCATGTAGGGAAATGTTTCACATTGTCACCAACTTCTTAAATTCAGTTTGTCCTTAATTCATCTTGAATGATGTTAACTTAAATATAGTTGACTTGAATCATCATCAAAATCATTTCTTGGGAATGTAGAGGCATTTCCATCAATCTCGCCCTCATTGCTTTCAATCTCCCCCTTTTTTATGATGATCAAGGAAACACCTGAAATGAATTAAAATGTTTGACTCTATATAGCCAACTCAAGATTAGCACAGTATAGTATCAAGTGTCAGAGTCTCTTAATCTCCCCCTGGATATATTAATAACAAGACTCTCCCTAACTCATATGAGCAAAGACTTCTCTTAACTCTCCTTGTTTAATTCATATATAGGAATGAATTTCACACAGATTTTAATTCATCACAAAATCTCCCCCTATTTCATTGATAATCATAAAAAATATTATAAGAGAAAAAAAATCTCCCCCTGTTTCACACAGATTAATATCATCAAAATATCTCCATGTTTCATTGATAATTATGAAAAATATTGCAATAGAAATTGAGAACAAATTTGCACATATTAGTACATAAAACAAGGCAGAGAAGATAATGCATTACAAAGTGTCATAGAGAAGAACATCATATTAAGGAGACACTATCTAGGATACCTAAGACAAATGAAGAGAGAGAAAGATAGGTGTAGAGATAATGGAATGAAATGTAGTAGTTCCCTTCAATTGCAGTTTTCTTATTTAGGCAGCTTTCAAATTCAAATTCACTCATATTCCAGATTTCAAATTTCAAATTTCAAATTCAAATTCCAACAAATTTCAAATTTTAAATTCAAATTTCTAATCCCAAATTTCTAATTTAAATTTCAAATACCAATTCAAATTCATTTTCAAAAATCTCATACTGCACA